ATCACAGATCTAACCAGAATTTATAACGGCTAAATCAGCTAATCTGCTTAGCGCAAGGCGGGATGGTGTTAAAAATAACCTGCTCTACTGTTTTTGCTACCTTGGTGGATGACTTCGCACTTCCCTACATTATACTTCATCTGCCACCAGCTGCCCAATCACCTAACCTATCTATGACTCACTGTATTTTTTAAATGTCATCCTCTGTGTTGACACTACCTCCTAGTATTGTGTCATCCGCGAATTTAGATATATTAACTTCGATGTCCTCATCTGGATCATTGATGTAGATGGTAAATAGCTGAGGCCCAAGGACTGATCCTTGTGGCACTCCAGTAGTCACATCCCGCCAATCTGAAAAGGACCCGTTTATCCCTACTCTTTGTTTCCTACCCGCTAACCATTCCCCACGTTAATATGCTCCCCCCAATTTCATGGGCCCTTATCTTTTGGACTAACCTTTTATGCGGCACCTTACTGAATGCCTTCTGGAAGTCCAAATAGACCACATCCACTGATTCACCCTTATCTAGTTTACTCGAAATATCCTCAAAAAACTCTATGAGATTTGTCAAACATGACTTCCCTTTTGTAAAGCCATGTTGACTTGGCCTAATTATATTGTGCTCCCCTAAACACCGCACTATCACATCCTTAATCAATGATTCTAAATTTTTTCCTATCATTGATGTGAGACTAACTGGCCTATAATTCCCCATCTTTTCCTTTCCGCCTTTTTTAAATAGTGGTGTGACATTTGCGATCTTCCAATCCATGGGGACTGTTCCAGAATCCAAGGAATTTTGGAAGATCAGACACAAGGACTCCACTATCTCATAAGCTACCTCTTTTAAAACCCTGGGATGCAAGCCATCCTGACCAGGGGATTTGTCACTTTTTAGTGCTAACAGTTTCCGTAGCACCAATTCTCTACCAACGAAAATTTCCCTAAGTTGCTCACTGTCCTTATATCCTTGGTGCATCTCTATTGTTGGCAGACTTGGTGTGTCTTTTAGGGTGAAGACAGATGCAAAGTACCCATTTAGGGACTCTGCCATGTCCTTATTACAACTTCTCCCGTCTCTGACTGAAGTGGACCTACATTTATCCTCACTAGCCTATTCCTCTTAATGTATTTGTAAAACTTTTACAATCAGGGATGGGAAGCCAGTGGAGTCGAATGAGAATAGGGTTTGAGAGTCACGGAGCCTGGTGCAGGAGAGGACATGAGTTCTGGATGATCTGCAGCCTACAGAGGGAGGAGTTGGGGAGGCCAACAAGCAAGCAGTTTGTAATAGTCAAGCCTCAAAGTAATGAATGCATGTATGAGGGTTTCGGCAGCCTGAAGTGTGAGCCAGTGGCGGAGCCGGGAGATGTTGCAGAAGTGGGTCATGATACGGATGTAGTGTAGAAAGGATAGTTATGAGTCAAACAAGACACCAAGATTCCGGACTGGCTTAGTAAGGTGGAGTGTGCATCCATGTATGGTGATCCTATCAGCGCCTGAGGTGTGGAGGTGCTGCCGGGAGCCAATCAGCATGATGGGCTTGGAAGGACAGAGTTTAAAACTCACAACTGTAGAACACAGCATGGTACATATGAATGAATATACTCACCACTTCCTCTTTTTTGACCATAGCCTTTAACCAACTGAAATCAACACCCTTATACATAACTGCAACAAAGAGCATGTGAGGATCATAGTCATGTAAAGATTTGGGTGTTCCCTCTGGGTAGCTCATTCGTATAGTTGTTTTGTTGCCAACATCCTGAGTAAATCCATGAATTGGTGCACTGTTCAACCTAAGTGAAAAGATGTAATCAGTTGGACAAATAAAAGCAATACAATCAGCAAGGCAGAGGTTTCTTTGTCATGTTTATACATGTGAGTCCATGTCTGACTCGAATTGAGGTGGGAAAGAATTATAACTGCAGAGTTTGGGAAAGCCATTACATTTATCACCACATCCCAATCAGTCCTGAAGCCACTAGCTGCAGAGGAGTTACGGGTTTGAAGAACGCTCCTTGTGCATAACAGAGAATAGAAAGATGAGAATGAAATGTGTGCGAGCTTAGCCGTTTTATGGGCTAGTCTTGTGGGCTTTAAGGTTTGCTGAGCATCTTCTATATTCTGAATCACAATGTTGTTTTCTGGACCTGCACATTCCTAGGCTTCTGAAATAACAGTGATTAGCCTTGAACAAATCCTTTTCCAAGTATGCATCCATCAAATACCACAGAATCATTCAAAACATTTTCCCTACAAACAATGTCAGACTTAGCCCTAGTAAATCCAGATCCATTTTGTGATCCTTTTTATATAAGCCCTATCAACCTTCAGACATATCCTTTAAAGTTAGTGAATTTACATCTCTGAAACCTATATACATTTTAGTCTCATCTTCCATAAAATATGTTACACTTAGTTACACTACAGTTATTTTGGTCTATTTTAAGAGCACTTAACCTTTTCATAACCATGTCCTGTTTTATCACACTATCCAGCTCATTCTGCAAAGATCTTGAAATCTAATCCCCAACTTTCCCTCCTCTTCCTTACTACAGATGAACGGTGAAGAAACCATGAGATTTGGGGGAAGAAATTCCAAACAGGATGAGCCTTGCACAGTTAAGTGAGCAGAGGTTGAGGATAGCAGATGGTGGACATTTGTGTTCTAGTCTGCAATGCACACACTTGATCCAGTTAAGAGGCAAAAGGAGTCGGCATCTCTATCTCTGCAGCAGTTGCACTAAAATGGTTTTAATTAATCTTGAAACTTTGCACTTTTAGTGACAAAACTGCACCTATGCCACATCAACGCAGGTGGAAAATTATTTCAATCAGTTGCCTCTTGCAGACGTTTGACTGTTACATAAAAATACATAAATTTCTGTACCTGATGACAACATCAAATGTATTCAAATATGGTCCAAGGCCCAATCCCCGTAGTATTCCACCACTTCCGAGGATAACACAGCGCTTGCAGGGTTTTCTTTCTAGTTCTTCTGACAATGACACTTTAGGCAGGAGGCCAATGAGTTCAGAAAACGTAAGATTATGTTTTTTGAAACCAAACGGGGGGTGGTATTTGAACACATTGCCAGTTAACCCAGAATTTCTCTTCAGGAAAGGAGATAGGTTCAAGTCATATTTGTGAGGAAACAAAATGGCCATTTTTTGATGAGCAAATGACAGGCGGCATTTTTCTCCCAACACTTTTTCAGCATATTCCTGGGCGTCCTGAGCAAGACACAAACAGACGTATCAGTACCTGTATACAAACTGCCTTGTCTAAAGATTCTGTTACATCATGATTGCGTGAAGCTGACTGCGCAAATCATCTCCCCTCATAATCTCCACAACAACACAGGTTAACCAGGTGGAACAGGTTAACCATCTCCTTTCATAAACCCTGCCAGTCCATTACTGAAGCTGCTACTTAATTTAAAAATCAACTATCATTCTTACATTCCTCAGGCAGTTAATTCCATTTTCTTGCTGAAAACTATCTGAAAATATCTAAATTCTCATTTTCTCCACACTTTGATCCTAATGGGTCAAGTTGCTAGCTCTTCCCTTTGGTTCAATTTTGATGACTATGATAAGAAACCTTCCTCCATCGCTCCACTCTGTTCCATCACTATGACTGATATGTCTGACCCTACACTGCCTGGACTGAAAAAACGCTTCTGGTGCAAAGACTATTCTCTTCAAGAGATGTGCATTCTTTTCTATTTCACTTTTAACATAACATACTATTGGCTGTAAAGTCATGGAAGTTGCGATCGACCTTCAAATTATTCATTAATGACCGTGTAGATTTGGCGTGGCTGATTCAGTTCCTGCCTAGTTTACTCTATAACTCTGTTCAGCTGATTGGTTGATGAACAGTCAGAACAAATAACATGGTGGACTGGGTCCAAAGAAGTTAGATCCTGCATTGTAATGGAGCAGGTCAGAAAAATGGACACTGATCTGCATTTCTGGGTCATTAGGTCACCCCTGATATCACTTCCCATTGACTGAGCATGTGCACAGCACAGAAGAAGCCAGTAACCACTTTGGCAAGTTTCCACTGGTTGGTGAGGCATTGCTGGATGTAGGAGGCCTTCTGTGGCTCTGTTCTTTCTGCAGGAAAACTGCTAAATTCTGGCCATTGTGTGATCTTCTACCAAACGATTAACAGTAGATTCCTATTAAAATGCTCCATCTTCACGATAGTTGATTGCTCGTGTTTGTGTTCTCCTTCCTCCTCAATGCACACAACTTCACTTTTCATAGCCCAATAACTGAATTATGCCCTTCAATGAGGTGAAAATTAGGCTTCTTTCCATCCCTCAGGCACTTTCTCCATCTTTCAAGTCTCAATAGCATTTATCAATTATTAGCATTGATCCTGGTCTTGACATTGTCACCCTCACTTTCTCATATCTGAAAAGGAATTCACAACTCTCTTCGATTGTTAAAATAGTCTCCTAGAAGTTTTTCTCTTTTGTGCCAAAAAAAGTATTCTCTCTTCAACAGTTCTTAATTTTTAAAACTTTGAATACTGCACTCATATCTGGAGAGGCTCTTGTAACACCTCACTGTCTCCTGAACAGGATGCAATAGGCTTGCCATCTGAATGATGACTCCTCACCCACTGTCAACACTTCAGTCACCAAGGAATTCAATCCATTCCTTCCAGAAATGCTACAAAGGCTAGACTATCAGATATCTTTATTCTGTTCATCCGATCTCCTGAGGGATAGCTCTTCTTACACAGCTCCCTGAAACCGTAAAGCAATCAAGCTAACATTCATTCAGGTGTCAGGTCTCAGCCTGGCTCAGTCGTTAACACTCTCGCTTCTGAGTTAGAAAGATGCGAGTTCAAGTCCCATATCACGACTTTGAATTTATATAGTCCAGGCCCAGAGGTCTCCATCACAGCTAGATGGCGCTCTCGAGCATGATCAAAAAGGCAAGAGGAAGAATCGATAGAACTGTATCATCATAGAGTCCAATAACGATACTCCTGCCTCTTGTTTTTATTGAGCATGCGCAAGACACCACCTCGTGGCAATCGACCGGTTGGAGACCCCCCCCCATCTGGCTGACACTCCCAATGCTGAGGCTGCGCAGCACTGAAGGTGCCGTCCTTTGGATTAAATGATAAGTCAAAGCCCCATCTGCCTGGTCAGGTGGACATTAAAGATTCCATAGCACTATTTGAAGAGAAGGGGTCCTGGCCAACAACATTCCAAACAACAAAATTGGTCATTCACTTCATGCCTGTTTGTGGAACATTAACAATGTCAAATTGACTGCCACATTGTGTACAAAAAAGTCATCACACTTCACAGAAAATCCTGTGAAGCGCATTGAGATATCCTCCTGTTGTGAAAGGTGCTGTATCAAATGCAAGTATTATGATCAGTAGTAGCATTATTCAGCCCAACCATTCAATCACCTTTGAACAGTTACTTGTGGTCCCTATACCCCCAATACTGTTTTGAAGCAATTGTTTATGCAATTCTTTTTGAAGCAATTGGGATAAATCAATTGCTTTACACAAGATCACAAAAATCCAAAACCAGTTTGAAGAAAACCCTTCAGCCCATTAGATCTCATTCTTCCAGAACATGCACCCTACCATCCCCCCCATCAAGCTGTTTTTTTAAATGCGTGCAGTGTCCTGGCCTCAACCACCCTTCCTGACAATCTTCCCAGTTGCTGATTATCCTCTGACTAAAGAGATTACCCTCTGTTGAACCACCAATTCACAACTTTGGGGAAAAACTGCTTCTCATTTCCCACACTCCTTTGAAGCTGGTTAAAATTTGAAACCTATGTTCGAGTTCACTGCTTGTTGTTTGTTTAAAATGTCATACTTGCATCTAAGTTTCTCAGCATAATAAATCTGATTCAGGCTTCTCCTACTCAATGAAATCCAGTTGAGCACTGGTACTCTCTGAGCTCTAATGCCAAAAATATTTATCATCTCAAAATCCTCTCCAATGGTTCAATGTCCTATTGAAGTCAAAATTAAAAATGGTCCACATAAGCATCCTTAACAATAATATACAGGTTAGTATATTATTATCTACTCCAAGACAATCTTGGAGGCCGAGAACAACCCCAGACTCCTCTTCTCCATCACCAACCGGCTCCTCCGCCCACCCTCTCACGCCTTGCCCATCCTCACCTCCAATGCCAACTGCGAGGCGATGCTGGACTTCCTCAAATCCAAAGTCAAGGGGATCCACTCAGCTGCTTCTGCCCTTCCATCTACTACACTCTCCCCATCTCCCCCTCTCACCCCATTCCTCCCTCCACACCTTCGAACCTGTCTCCCACTCCTCTCTCATCACCACTAAAACCCGCATGAAACCAATCATCTGCTCCCTCAACTCTATCCCTACCCCTCTCCTTACCTTCCAGCTCCACTTCCTTGCCCCTCAACTCACAGACAATATAAACTTCTCCCTGTCCACTGGCACTGATCCCACGCATTTAAAAACAGCCACTGTCATCACTCCTATCCTTAAAAAACCCTTCATGGACCCATCACTACTCTAAAACTACCGCCCCATCTCCAACCTCTCTTTCCTCTCCAAGTTGTTGCTTCCCAGCTTCGCTCCTTCCTCTCCTGCCACTCCTTTCTCAAACCCCTCCAATCACAGTGGCACAGAAACAGCCCTGGTCAAAGTGACAAATAATATTCTGTCCATCTGCGACCAAGGCTCCATCTGCCTCCTCATCCTCCTTGACCTCTCGGCTGCCTTCGACACTGTTGACCACTCTACCTCATCCACAGCCTCTTCTCTCACCTCAATCTTCATGGCTCTGTCCTTGAGTTGTTCAGATCGTACCTCTCACACTGCCTCCACTTCATCTCCACAAAAGATTTCTCCTCTAGCACCCACACCGCCTAATGCGGCGTTCCTCAGGGCTGTCCTTGGTCCCCTCTTCTTCAATCTCTATATGCTCCCTCTTGGTGACATCATCCGCAGACATGGGGTCAACTTCCACATGTATGCGGATGACTTCCAACTGTACCTCTTGCCTCCACCCTTAACTCCAGGGCCACTGCTGTCCTGACAGAATGTCTGTCAGACATCAAGTCAAGTCCTGGATGAGAGCTAACTTTCTTCCTCTCCCGCACCAGGTTCCGTGACCCAATCACCCCCATCCCCGCCGATTCCACTAGCTTCCCATCACACAGAGGATACAGCTCAAGATCCTGGTCCTCACCTTCAAAGCCCTCCATGGTCTTGCTCTCCCCTACCTCTGGACCTCCTAACTCCCTACAATCCTGCCCACTCCCTCCATTCAATGGGCTCCGGCCTGCTTCATGTCCCCCGCCTCTCCCACCCCACCACTGGCAGGCGGGATTTCTACTACTCTGCCCACCCTCTGGAACTCCATCATGCAGTCCCTCCACTTCACCCATGCCTCCTTCAAGACTCATGTCAAGACCCTCCTTTTAGACTGTGCTTTTCATCACCCTGCTACCCCCCTACCCTCCACCCTCCCCGATCCCGACCGCCAGCTCGGGTCCAAAACTTTGGACTGTCCAGCACCTTGGGACGTCCTCCCAACTACACAAATGTAATTTTGTTGTTGTTGTAGTAGACCCAAAAAAATTACAGCATGGAAAAAGGCAAATTCAAATTTGGTAACAGCAGTGGGGAAGATGCTATCAGCACAGAATTGATATTTTGAATAGTCTTTCTGTGCTATAAATTCTGATTCTATGTGTCTTTTTTGAACACTGAATATATACGCTGCCTTAGAACAGAAGCTATTTGTAACAACTTAGAGCAAAGTGCGAGGTCATGTTGAACAAATGTTTGTGCAGACCTGTATAAAGCAGGTTACGGAATGGTTGTGGTTTGCCCTTTCTAGGCTTATGGGTATGATGTATGTAATGTATACACATTTGCAATTGAAGACAAGTTAGCAATTTGTATTTATATAGTGCCCTTCACATAGGATGTTGTCAGTGGCTTCATACATAACGTCAAATTCAAATAAATTAAAAACATACAAATAAGAGACAATTGTAAAATAAATAAAAGCTCAAACCTTTATTTTCTCAGGATCCACCACATACGAATTCCATATATCATCTTTCGGATTGTGCTGGTTTAAAAAGCGATGGAAAATTGCAAGGACACCTAAACACACCATCATCAGGCCCACAAGCCTAAAAGGGAAACCATAATGATTTAACAATAGTTATGTACAAAGTCCTAAGTGATTTCAATTCTCACCAATGCAGAATTTCTTTAGTACAAAAATGATACAGAATAGAATCAGAATTTACTGCACAGGAAAGCAATTCAGATCATCAAGCCCATGCTGGTACCATTTTTCCATTGCTCCAATCCCAATTTCCCCATTCCCTCTGTATACCCTTTGTATATTATTTCTCTTCAAATGTTCATTTAATTCTCTCTCAACTTTTACGGTTTGCTTGTGGTAAATCAATCCTCGTTCTAACTACCTACCCTCCATGTGAGAAACTGATTTCTAACCTCCTCATTGCTTCCAGTGACAATCTTAAAGTTATGACAATTACTCTTTTACCAATTTACTAACCGATGGAAACATTATTTCACTGTTATCCTCTTGAAAAAAATTCAGATAAAGAAATTGCTCCTTTCAGCAATCAGAGCAAAATAGAATCCTTAACTCACAAATCAATTGAATTCAGATCCCGAGAAATCATGCTCAAAGTGCTCTATTTAGAGCCGGGATCTCCAACCAGTCAATTATGGCGAGATGGTGCTCTCGCTCATGATCAAAGTGACAGAATGGTGGACCGATATAACTACATCGTTATCAAGTCAAATTGAAACCAAACCCAAATGCACCAAGTATTTCTTGCATCTCAAACTAAAAATAGAAACTGTAATATTAAATACGTTTTTTTGCCTCAGTTTTTAGTAAAGAGATGGGAAATTTATTGGATCTGGAAAGAGAACTCAGTGATGTTGCAAAGGCAAGTTGTGACACTGTACATATCACTACCAGCATGGTTGCCAAACATTTTTGCAAACTTAAAGTAAACAAATCCCAAGGGCTGGATAAATTGCATCCAAGGATCCTTAAGGAACTGAGGGAGGAAATTGCAGGACCTCTGGCACAAAACTTTCAGAAATCACTGGATACTGAAGAGGTGCCTAGGGACTGGAGAAAAGCAGACATTACTCTTATTTTTAAAAAAGGTAGCAAGGGTGACTCAGGAAACTACAGACCAGTGAGTTTGATGTACATTGTGGGTAAAGTTATGAAGACTTTTGTTAAAAATAAGATCATGGAGCATCTGGACAGTAATAAAATGATAAAAGATAGCCAATATGGGTTTATGAAAGGGAGATCCTGCCAAACTAATTTACTGTTTTTCTTTGACTGTGTGACAAAGGAGCTTGACAAGGGTAAGGCAGTGGATGTTGTATATCTGGATTTCAGTAAGGCCTTTGAACGTTCCTCATGAAAGGTTGGTAATGAATATACAGTCAATTAACTTTACAGTATATTCTGCAAAGCGCTTTGAGACGTCTTGAAGACGTGATAAGGTGCTACATCAAATGATTATTATATTATTACTCAAAATAAAGAAATCGGGAATCAGTGGACATATCTTGCAATGGATTCATAATTGACTGACCGATAGAATCCAGAGGTGGTGGGTGGTACAGGGAATGTCATCAGGCTGGGAGAATGTTACCAGTGGAGTTCCACAGGGGTGTGTTTTGGGACCTCCTTTATTTAACACCTTCATGAACAACCTGGAGCCTAGAGTCACAAGCACAGTGGCTAAATTTGTAGATGACACAAAGCTAGTGAAAGTGGTAAACTGCAAGATGAACAGGGTAGGTTATCGGAGGCCTTGAACATTCTTGGGAATTGGGCAGATTGAAGGCAGATGAAATTTAATGTAGAAAAATGCAAACTGCCTTATATAGGAACAAAAGTTCCAGGAAGGGACTATTATTTAAATGTTAAGAAATAATAAGTACGGAAAATGAAAAGGACCTGGGGATCCTGATTAATAATAAAATGAAGCTATCCCAACAGTGCTCGGTAGCAGTGAGTAAGAAAAAACAGAATGCTAGGCTGTATTAAAAGGGCAACATTGAGCCGAAATAGTGGGGTAACCTGCCACTTTACAAATTACTGGTACAACCTCACTTGGAATATTGTGTGCAGTTCTGATCACCGCAATATAAAAAGGATATTACAGCAATTGAATGAGAGGATACAGAGGAGGGCAACCAAAATGATTGAGGGGATGGAGGGATTGGATATATCACTACCAGCATGGTTGCCGAAGCGATTAGATAAACTGGGCATGTTCACACTGGAGAATAGAAGGTTGAGGGGCAATATGATTGCGGTCCTTAGGATTCTGAAGGCAATAGATGATGTAGACCATGATAAGCTGTTTGATCTTGTACTGAACACTAGAACCAGAGGACATGGCCTATGACTGAAGGGGGGTAAATTCAGAACAAATCTGCGGAAACACTATTTCAGTGAGCGAGTAGTAAACTTATGGGAGACCGTGGAAACAGAAAATATCATTTGTTTCAAGAACAAATTAAGATAGATTTCTGCTAGAAAATAATATCTCAGGATACATTATATAGTTTGGGACATGACATGTCAAGCGACTGCCAAGATGGTGGAAGGCGAACTGGATCGACCTTGGTCTTCTTGCACCTAGCAAATTCTTATGTTCTTATAAACTGCAGTAAATATCACTCCTTCCTCTTGTTTTTATTGAGCATGCGCAAGATGTCACCGAGCGTGATCGACCAGTTGGAGACTCCTGGTTTAGAGTATTGCATATTGTTCTGGTTGCCATGACATAAAGAGACCACTCAGGCACTAGAGGTTGTGAAGACCAATAAGTATGACCCTCCACAAAAAGACGAATTGAGCTATGAGGGATGATTGATGCATTTCATCTCTAGATTCAAACTAAATTAATTGTATTGGAGTCATTTATTTACTTACGACATGTGTACATCTAACCTCAGAATGCCTTTTACGATGAATCCAGCTTTCGCCATTCTTTACCGTCACGGCCAGTTTTGAATTTCCAGAAATTTAGAGAGAAACTTCTGTACTACAGTAAATCCTCTGAACCTGCACAGCTGGAAAGAAAGAGAGATTACTTAAGAGACTGTGGTTAGAACTATACTTTTTATCTACAACTTGTCTGCAAACAGAATCTAGACTATGTTGTCTTCAAAGCCCTCCTTGGGCTTGCTCACCCCTCCGTCTGCAACTTCCTAACCCCCTACCAACCTGCCCACTCCCTCCGCTCAGCGGGCTCAGGCCTGCTTCACGTTTTCCGCCTTGTCTGCCCCACCATTGACGGGAGGGTCTTCTGCACTCTGCCCCATCCTCTGGAACTCCATCCTAAAGACCCTCCCCCTCCCCACCTTCCTTGCCTCCTTCAAGACCCTCCTCTTTAACCATACATTCGGTCACCCTCCTTCGCCCCTGCCCCCACACTCCCCGATCCTGATCCCCAGCTTGGGTACAAAACACTGACTGCCCAGCACCTTGGGATGTCCTCCTTACGTGAAAGGCGCTATACAAATGTAATTTTGTTGTTGTTAAATAATTTAATTTCGTACTCAAGCTATATATTCTGATGTTCATGCTGAAAAAGAGAAGATTGAGAGGCAACATGATTGCCATCTTTAAGATTCTAAAGGGGTTAGACAATATAGATCATGACATGTCCAGAATAGTAAAATTAGAGGACACGGCCTGCGATTGAAGGGGGGTAAATTCAGAACGAATCTACGCAAATACTATTTCAGGGAACGAATAGGCTCCCTAGGGAGATGGTTGAAGCAGGAAGTGTTGATTCTTTCAAACATAGATTAGATAACAAACAATAATAAGTTGGTCACTTTCAATCCACGACTGCTTTGTGCAATTCTACTGTGTTTCGCCTACAAATATACAGTCAGTTCACTTTACAGCATATTGTGTGATGCACTTTGAGACGTCTAGAAGATGTGAAAAGCGCTATATCAAATGCAACGATTATTATTATTTTCTTTTAGGAAATAACATCCGCCCACAGTAGAGAAACCGCGCTGGTCAAAGTGACAAATGACATTCTGTCCATCTGTGATCAGGGATCCCTCTGCCTCCTCGTTCTCCTTGACCTCTCTGCTGCTTTCGACACCGTTGACCGCTCTATCCTCATCCACCGCCTCTCCTCACCGGCACTGTCCTTGATTGGTTCAGATCGTATCTCTCACACCGCCTGCACTTCATCTCCTCAAATGTAGAGGAGTGGTGGGGGGAGGGGGGGGCGAGGATAGGAAGAGTTGTCCGGGTGACGGTCCTAATTCTCTTGAGGAACATGTTTTGGTTGAATTCGACTTAGTGGATGCCTCGCTCACCCAAAAAAAACGCATGAAATAAATTGAACTGCAAAGTTCTTACCAGGTCATTAGAAATGGAGGAGAGGCTCTGCCACTTTAAACTGTATCCAAATAAATCAGGTAGATTGTTACAAAAATGTAAATACAAGGCAGTGTACCATAAAATTAGTTTTGCTGCTAAGTGCTTGCAGTTAATTCTTAATCACATTGTATCAATAATATATAAACAAATAGGTTTCAGATTTATGTACTGTAAATGGAGTGGGTTATAAAAGTGCTAACAAATGAAGCCCTTATTTGCCTCAGGCGCTGACCGCATCACCATCCACGGTTGCACACTCCACCTTACTAAGCCAGTCCGGAACCTTGGCATCTTGTTTGACCCTCAACTATCCTTCCTACCCCACATCCGTGCCATATCCTACTCTGCCTTCCCCACCTCCACAACATCGCCCGGCTCCGAAACTGTCTCACTCTGCAGGCTGCCAAGACCCTCATACACGCATTCATTGCATCCAGGTTCAACTACATAAACGCCCTGCTTGTCGGCCTCTGCAACTCCTCCCTCCATAGACTGTTGATCATCTAGGACTCTACAGCCCGTGTCCTCTCCTGCATCAGGTTCTGCAACCCTATCACCCCCATCCTCGCCCAACTCCACTGGCTTCCCATCATACAGAGGATACATTTCAAGATCCTGGTCCTCACCTTCAAAGCCCTCCATGATCATTTCGTCGGAAATGCTTTCCAAGATGCTGGACAGTCAAGAATTTGCACCCGAGCTGGGGATTGAGATCAGGAAGGGTGGAGGGTTAGGAGGGCGATTATAGATGCGATCGAAAAGAAGGGTCTTGAAAGAGCCAAGTTGAAGGAGGCAAAGTAGGGGACAAGGCGAAGGGACTGTGGGATGGAGTTCCAAAAGGTGGGGGCAGAAAGGCTGAAGACCGCCGATGGTGGAGCAAGCAAGGGCAGGGCACATGGAACATACTGACCGGAGGTAGTGGAGAGGTTGGTATGCAGTAAGCAGGTCACCAAGGTAGGGAGGAGCAAGGCGGTGGGAGGGCTTTGAAAGCAAATACAAAGATTTTGAACTCTGTCCTCTGGGGAGTTGGAAGCCAGTGTAACTTCAAACTAATTTGTAACCGCAGAATACACATCAAAGGAACTTTTAGGATTATACAAGCTGTGGCAAATATGTAAAAACCCAGGAAAACAGGAAGCAAATAGTTTACAGCTGGCTCTAAAAGGAATGTATGGGAACATTCTCTGAAGCTCTGTACAGCAGAAGTCCATTAATGTCACAAGACCATTGGAATCATGAATGATATTGCTTGAAATATTATTTTGGTTCAGTTAGAAATGCTTTTGTTAACTAACCCGTGGAATGACAATCTTGATAACAAATTGGTTGTTTGATCAGTGAATGTTGCGGATCACATGCCAGTCCGTATTGGAATGATTTGTAGATATTATAAAAGTATTTGATTTATACCACTCCTTTTGCCAGGCTGATGAGAAATTTAGGTGCACTGTTTGGGCTGGGACTCGCTGTGAATTCACAAATATTCATTCAGAGCAGTAAAGGGGACTGCAAGACTGTAAGACTGCAAGGCTGCAAGACGTGTTTCAAGATGATGTGTGGCTTCTTCATTGACAATATAACAATTCTTAAACTTAGTTAAGATCCTAACTCATGTTGAACTATTCTATTGTTTTATGTGTTCTGTTTCTGTAAAAGTGCAACAATTCCTCTTAATATAGTTGCACTAATCCCTTACTCCATTCATCTCTTAATGGGAAGCACAGAAAATAAAGTAGATTAGGTCCAAGATTTTATATACTGTATAAATCTTCAGCAAATTGATTATTCCTATTGATTTTTTACTATTGAAATTTCAAAAATAATAATTTTAAATAATAAAATAATAATCCACAACTGTTTGTGGGACACTGCTGTGCCCAATTGGCTGCCATGTTTCACCCACAAAATATACGCTCCGAGACACAATTCGGCAGGAAGGGCACTATATCAGTGCAAGTTATTGGTATTCAGTCATTCACTTCACTGTATCAAAAACAGAAGTCACTGGGAAGCTTTTAGATTCCCAGCATCTGCAGTATTTTGTTCACTTTACAGTATATTTGGTGAAACACTTTAATAAGTCTCGAAGATGCGATAAGGCGCTATATCAAATGGAAGTATTATTATTATTATTAATTATTATCTGAATCAGCTAAATTGAAGAGTTAATATCTAAGCATGATGTATGTTATGGAGTAGTTGATATAACTTTAGATAAAATGTTATGCGAAAATGATAGTATATGTGCCTTGAAGTTAAATTGATTCAGAAGTAAGACGTGTTTATTACAGCTCTCTTGTTAGTTGTTGATGTAACAGTCCTACATTGTTTTAGTTTGAATCAGCTCATGGGTACTGTACCCAAGGAGGGTCCCAGCTTGTTTAAACCAGGCTGGAAACTACTATTAGGTGAGTGAGGACATGCAAATTTGCATGGACTATCCTGATGTTTAAAAAACAAGGATAATTATAAAAGAGTTATAGCTAAGCTATACTTTGTTCAGTCAGAATTGGTCATCCTGGCATTGGGCCCGAGGTGATGAGAGCGAGTAATATAATAATAATCCTTGCATTTGATATAGCGCTTTTAACGTCTTCTAGATGTCTCAAAGCACTTCACAGAATAGACTGTAAAGTGAATTGACTATATTTGTGGGTGAAAAGCGGCAGCCAATTGAGCACAGCAATGTCCCACAAACAGTCGTGGATTGAAGTGATCAATTTATTATTGTTTTTTTTCTTGAGGGATTATTATCAGGCGTGTGGAGTAATGAAACTCGCTGTGTGAAAAAAATTCTTCTCACCTCTCCTCTGCTTATTTTAGAAACTATTTTAAATCTATGACCTTGAGTCACCGACAATCCCTCCAACCAATTGCCCCCCCCCCCCCCCCGCAACATCGGGAAAAAAACAAAAGAAAACAGCAACAATATGAGAATATAACTGTTGGAGATTCAACTTTGGTCTTTTGACTTTGGCCAGCCAAGCATCCCACTATTATCAACTCAGAGAGTTAATGCTACTTACTGTAACTCCCAGGTTCAACAGAGCAATTAATTGTACTAAGAACTGCACCTTTGGACAAGCCTACGCAAGAAATTTATAATACTCATAAATTTATGAACTTTGATATTGACATCACAGTAACAATGCTATACTTGATTATGACTTGATTATGTTTGTGGTAACCTTGCTTATTGTACAATAATTTTGTTGATTTAAATACTGCAATGTTTCTGTCTTATTAAGTAAACAAACATTAAAAAAATATCAACTATAAGTGACTTTGGTTCTTCTGTTCACAAGTTCTTCATATAAAATTTCAACTAACAGAATAAAGCTGTCTTTTCTGGCTACACCTTTGTCCAGGCTACAACAATGTGGTTAACTCCACTCCTCAATATACCTTTGAACCCAACAAGACAAAAGCTGTAGTTCACCTATTTGCCTTTCTAGTTGGAATTTACACTTCAACATATGATCTTTCTTTGAACTTTAATCTCATCATAATTGCAAAATATATGTGTGCAGATGTTACTGTGGAAGCATATGAAGAGGGGAATTTGGGAGAATTCTCAGACTCACTCATGTTTCTGATTTTGTAAGTCAGCACTGATGGGGCAAAAAAAATCAAGATGAGGCAAGTTAAAATTAGTTGCCACTTG